CAAAAATACGACTTTCGCAGTCTGAAGCAAGAAGCAGAAAGCATTGTTGCTGGAATCAATGCAAGAATAAGAGAGATAAAAACCCAAACCACGATTCTTGACCTTTCCCGTCAACAGACATCCTCGGCGGCTCAGGTCGAAGAAGTCCAACCAGAGGATGACTACGAAGAGACCGACCCATGCGGTTTACTGCATAGCAATCAGAAACCAAGTATCCAGCGATGCACAACCGCTACTATGGGAAAGTCAAGATCAAGAAGAACAATTCGAATTTTCCCCAGCATTGAGAATAAAATACCCGCAGATCAAACTACCACATTTTAGTGGCGAAAACGACTCTTGGGAAGAATTTTGGGACACGTACTCCCTAATAGTCGACCAGAATCCACAACTTAGTGAATTAGAAAAGATTTTATACCTCAAAGATGCTATACGAGGAAAGGCGCAGATTGCCATCAAAAGCATCCCGATGAGAAGCTCAAATTACAGCCTCATCGTTGAAGTGCTACAGAAGAAGTTCGGTAATAAAGCAAACAACAGATCACATATAGTACAACAGCTGTTGGATGTTCCCAAGGCAACACTAACGGCTGAAAAATGTGTTGATACACTCGAAAAAATGAATGACTCGTCTTCCAAATGGTTGCCACTGGATATGACATCCGCAAGATACACGGATCGACACAATCTCGAAATTAACATATGACGTCATAAAGGACTGTCTGAAGACGTCGTCGGGCGACCAAAAGCTAACAGTCGGAAAATTATTGGAAGAACTCCACGAGCAAGTTTCCTCTAGAGCCCTGTTTGAAAGCAGATACGCGTCGTTGACCTCGAGAAGGTTCACTACAGAGCTAACTCACGCACAAAGACTTTCAAGCAACAACAGTGCCTATTCTGTCAGCGAAACAACCACCTTACAAAAGACTGCCGCACTGTACAGTCTCCAATCGATCGCCGCAATGCACTAAGAACTAATCCGGCATGTTGGAAATGCTTCGCAAATGATCATAGAAGCCGCATTTGCGCACAAAGGAACTGTCCTAGATGCGGCGGGGACCACCACATTCCCTTTGTCTCGCGCAAACAAAGGAAAGTCCTTCTGTTTCGAACGCAAGTTCAAAATCACAAGACGAAACCCGAAAAGCTTCCGAGAATAGCGACAGAAAAAGTGGCACACAAAAGGTCACTTACCGTAACCACTTTGGCCAGATGGCATTTGACACAGGGCAGCCAACGAGAACAACATCAGAAATCGATAAACAGCTTTTCCAGCCAAACAGATGGGAACAAATAAACTAGTCCTCATGACGGTAGAAGGTCAAATAAAGAATTATACGAACGACTCGTTCGAAAACGTCATTATCTTCTTGGACTCGGGAGCTCAATGCAATTTAATTGATGCTGCCCTAGCACAAGCACTGGCACTTCCTGGGAGTGAACCATACCAGTGCACTATGCACGGAATAGGAGGAAGCGTTCAAACATATACGGCGCAACAAGTAAACTGCCGTTTTCAGAACGCGGTTTGGTGAATGTCTTTCAATCAGTCTGACCAGGAAAGGTCAACAGGTCAGCCCGGCCATTTCCAATGAGGTGCACACCGTTGTACGAGTCTTGGGACGGTGAACTCGAATCTACCTTCAGAATTTGCGGAACGACTCTCTGAACGGAGTTATGGAGGGTTTATCCCCGCGTGGTTGTTTCACATGCTATCGCGAGGAAACGTGGAAGCGTCTTCATATACAAGAATGGAGTCAACTGAAACGTGGCAGTAGAGCGCAACGGATAGCGAGCGGGTTTACTAGGCGAGACGTCGTAGGATCGGTTCTCGGCAGGGTCCTTTTTGCATTTGTCCAAGAACATGGCCGACAAAGCTTCTAACATCTCTGCTCGCCTGTATCCTGTAAGGAAACTTCGACCAGTTTTTTTTCGAAAGGATAGGCCCATTATGGCCTGATTCAGAGACAATCACCGAAATAACCCTTGAGTGTACAGATCAAACTTTCCTAATCAAGTGTTCAAAATACACTTTAGCCAATGTCATAATGCTACAATACGATCATGCAAATGTAAAAGATGTGTGCTCATATCAGAGCGCAGGGAAACTCTCCGAGATCACTTTGATAGGCACACTTTTATACCATACGCCCACGCTAGACCACGAAATATTCGGCGAAGGTAAACAAACAACCGCAAGCAACACAGCCTGGTGGAGCAACATTTCGTTGCCAGACATAGGTCCGCTTGCGGCCACAATTACCAAACACTGGAAAACAACCGTCGCAGTTATCTGTAGCTTCACAGTAATCGGACTGCTCACATATTTTCTCGGGCCAACAGTCATAATCACTATTGTTCATTTACTCGTCACAATTCTCCTCGCGATGGCTGAGACACTCTTCGCATGTCTCAGAAGCCTATTCTCTCTTCTGCGGCGGTACCGTAATGACTAACAGTCACACCCTCGCTCTTGGCTCTCCGCCAGCGCATGTCAAAAAAATCAGAAGCACAGCAATCTCACTCCTCATCGTTCGTTCCTAAATGTTAGTCGACGACAACTCTCCTCGCAATCATGCCGAAGCTGCCAGCTGCGGTGCCCGATCCAACCAACAAAGAAGACGCACCTGCAGATACGCCAGCCAACCACCACGATACCTTTGAGGTCTCCACTCGTCTTACCTTGAATTTGCTCAAGTTCGATATTCAAGAAATCAAGAACAGTGTTTCGCCTTCGAAAGTAAGATCGATACCCTAATTACCAACACTGCTCCTCGCCATCAGTGTATTTTCTGCGAAGCTGACAATGAGGATGGCCATAGATCCTCAATCTGTTCGGTATTCCCCGACACTATCTCCAGATCATTCCGTCTACGAGACCTCAACAAGTGCATTCTCCTGCTTGGCCCCTGCACACGGGCAGTGTTCGAACAAGTGTCGTTCCTGTGGAGGCACTCACCATGTTATTCTCTGCGCGGAACGAACAAAGCAAGGACCATCTCATAAACGTCCAAAGCTCGAGCACTGATGCGTTCATCCCATTGCAGGTTGGCTTCCTTCGGAAAACACACCACATTCATTGTTCTAGTACGCCTTGTAAAACTTGCTTTCAGGTTTCAGCATTACAGAAAAGAAGAACTCTCATGCCGATCTGATCTGACTTTGTCATGACGGACTGCATTTGCAAGCATCCATTCCAGTAACTAATCATGGACATGTTTTTTTTCAGTTACCGTAACCTAGTTTTAATTTCACTTTCATTTTATTGCGAAACCTATGTTGTGTTGTTGCCTTCACGTACATTTCTGCCACAGTTTTTTCTACCCTTTTGCTTTCTTTATACAGCCCGCTTTCTTTGTTTACCCGTCCCATACGACTGCATTTTCCTTCACACTTATCGTGTCAGCGCAAAGTTACAGCTTACATACCACAGGACCGGGCAAGCCGTGATCAGAGGGCGCACAGTCCCCAAAAAAAATCTCGGCGATTATCCCTATTATACACTATGTCATGTATTACTTGCTTTTCGGCCAGCACACCGGCTCATTAATACCGCTCAAGATATCGTCAGCGCATAAGGGGAGCCGAGAAGGACCAGGCGGCCTAATTATCCACGACTTACTCGGTCGGTAAAAACCACAAAATCAAAATGGCAAAAGTGAGCATTATTTTGCGTATCTCACCACTTAACATTCTTGAGTTATCTCAACATTTAAACTTCAATCGCTTCATCGCTTTATTGTATGCCCCGGGAGTGTTGCGGTATGCACCTGCAACCGCAGCGCTCCCCGTATTCTAAGGCAGCAGTGGGAGGGGCTGCACTTTTGTAAGGAGCAAGCCGGACGCCAGTCGGCTGACCGAGGAGCGCCCGGAGTAGTGAATCGGACCGGCGAGAGCTCTGCCAACCGCCGCTTACACGATTTACCCAATACTACGCGAATAAATAGCTTGATCAGCTTCCTTTGTTAGAAAGAAGAGGAAGAAGGCCGTGACAGAGTGGAGCCTGTCGAGCATATCGAGCAACGGTCAACTAGTCCTAATGGTGACTCGGAAACGAGCCAACCTGATAGGACTCTCGGCGATAAGCTCAGAGAGCGATTCGATGCCTATTACAAGGCAGCCAAAGAGTCGCATGACAGGCAACCAATAAGAAGGCCCAAGGGTGATATGCCCAAGGGCAGCTCGCAAATGAAATTCTTCTAGAAAGGCTGGGGCATACTAACTCAACCAATGCATGAACACCAACAGCCTTAAGTGCTGCATTGTATGCCATATCCAGAGCCATCACAACGATCCTTTGGACGGTGAAGCAGAAAAGGCGGGAAAAACTCACCAGAAACTGAGAGAGAGAAAGAGAAAGATCAAGAGACACCCTCGTGAGTGCCATCTCGACGTTGTCGCATGAACTCAGGAAGAAAAAGTGGAAATGCCCGGGGCCTCCTAGTGAGCAGTACCGGGTCATTTCCCGAATACAAAGAGTCACTACAACCGTGGACATTCAGCGACTCCGGATAAGATTCAAGGATCAGCTGAAGGTTGTAAACTCTGAACATCAAAACGATAGAGCAACCCTAAGGCGCAAGCGAGAAAGGCTGCCGGCATACCCAGCTGTAGCTAGAGCACCACGTGAAAGGAAAGCTGATGTACCGGTTGCGGGACTAGTGAAGAATCGCAACCTTTCCATCCGTCAGACGACCTTCAAGCGTGGTCTCGCTCGGTGCAAAGAGGCGAAAATAGAGCCGCTGTAGACCTGTCCGAGGAAACTTGGGCGAAGATATTCGCTAAGATAAAACCTTGGAAAGCAACAGGTCCAGACGGCATACAGGGCTTCTGGTGGAAGAAAATACCAGAGGCAAGAGAGAGGCTAAAATCGTGGTGCCTCGATGCGCTACGTATGCCTCATAGAATCATCCCTCAATTGGTTGTGTAGAGGGAAGATAGTTCTGATTCCAAAAGGGGAGCGCCGGCGCCCGCGGGCCCGGCGACTTCCGTCCGATAGCATGTTTAAATACATGCTACAAAGTCCTGACCGCTATGGTAGCGCAACAGATACTCCTGAGTGCTGGTGACCTGCTCCCTCAGGAGCGAATCTGATCTCATAGAATCTTGCGCTAAGGAATCTGGGGCTGCACCCATGCGCACATTTTGGATCAGACTATCTGTAAAGACGCCTCTAAGGCGCAAAAACGTACTACACACCTTATGGGTAGATATGACTAAAGCCTTTGATTCCGCTCTTAAAGGCAGTTGGCACGATAAATCCCTCAAGGCGACTAGGATCAATACTCCTGGCAGGATAGAATTCCGCGACCCTGGGCAGGCGCTGCATAGCGGTTTCCCCGAGGAAGGTGCCCTTATAAGGGCCCTATCAAGCCACAACTTTACGTCCCAAACGCCCGCCCGCCCACAAATGGACGACCGTTCCTGACGCTCGTATTCATTCATTTGCTAAGCAAATTATGAAATTGGTATGAAGCGGCCGTGATGCTGCATGCATACATGGGTACACATATGCAGCCGTATCTTCGGTAGCGGTGATTGGTAAGATGCCTACGGGAAACTCGTCCGAAATCGATTTACAAGTCACTGAGAACGGAGGCTTTTTCTTCGCAGGATTTTGACTCCGTTCTTTCGCCATTTCCCCACTATACAGCCCTACTAGCATTTTAGGCTAAGTAGGAAACCCACGTGCCACTGAACTTAAAGGCACTTTCCGCGATAAACTAACCCCATAAGCTTTAAAACGCGCCAGATGATCCCTCAGGCGATTCTAGGGGCTGTGGTGCATCCAAAAAGGCGAAAAAAGCAGGAATTCCCATAAAAGCTTGGCAAATAGGCCCATTCGGCACCCCTTAGGCCCATGGCGACCCCCGAAGGCCCATGTCCATGGCGACGTGACTGTGTCAGTGCTCTCGCCCGGACCTGATAGAAGGCGGGGTGGCGGTAAAACTGCTCCTGTAAAGCAGTATCTCGTGTCGCCAAGTTACACAGAGTTAGAATGACCGCGAACGGTCCAACCACTTCTGATTAGGCTCACGGACAAAAAAAGTATTGTAAACTCTGTAATAAACTGAAGAAGAGGCTGTAATGCGTCTGCGAGAGCGGAGCTATCCCGCGGTTGCTGGAGAACCATGTGTGAGGAATTCTGACATTCCTGTCGCGGAAGTTCGTGAAATGGAAAACCGTTTAAGGTGACTCGCAATCATTACATCCTTCATAGAACCTGAAAGCGTAAACTCGCAGCGAACAAAGAGTCGAAAGCAGGGAGCCATTGGACCTGCATGAGGAGGACTGGGCGAGAATATTCACATAGTCAGACCTTGGAAAGCTACGGGTCCAGATGGTAGCCAAGGTTTGGTGGAAGTTACCGGAAATCCCGAGCAGGCTGAAATCGTTGCCAAGATGCGCTACGCACGCAGCACAGGATCATCCCGAGGTATTTCGCAGCGGAAAGATCGTTATTCGAAAGGGGAGCTTAGAGGGCCGAGACCCTAGAGACATCCGCGCCAGCATGTTTGAAGCATGTGAAAACGAACATCCATAATTGCGCAACAGGTTCTCCAATATGCAGGAGACATGCTCCCTAAGGAGCAGATTACTTCGCTCAAATGGGTCTGAGGTTGCACTCAGCCCACATTTTGGATGAGGCGTCTGAAGGAACGCCTTCGAGGCGCAAGAATGCTTTGCCCACCCTGTGAGTGGACATGACTGAAGTCTTTGATTCGGTGTTTCATGGCGCCATTAAATGGATGTTGGCTAGGTTGGTGTGCCGTCTTTGACAAATAGACTTCTTTCGGTCATCACGACAAAGCAAAGTGTTTGATATTGCGGCTACGAGAACGCCAAACTGGTGAGAAAAGAATAACTCAGCCTTCTTCTATTTTGTGCCTATCACTCCTAGTTCGCAGTGGCTACGTAATAACGTAAGCGCGTATCAAAAATCTACGGGAATGTTAGCTCTGGCAGACGGACCTGTGGACAACAATCATCACCTCCACATGAATGACATAATTGTTCACTCGCCAAAGTGGGATGATATTGTGAACGCCCAAGAGGGCACACAAAGAGTGGCCGAAGAGCTCAGAGTGTGAATGAACTCCAGCAAATGCGCTGTGCATTCTTTGAACCTGCCTCAGTCACAGAGTATGACAGCGCGATTGAATGACATACGAATCCTTGGAACAAACGCACTCCACAAGTGTTTTAAAGCGGAAACAAAACACTCTTGTAAGTATGGACCCTGTAATCTCGTGCAAGAGGGGAGGCCTTAGCCACAGCAGGCGGATTACGCCCAGCGAACTCACGGTCGCCGAAAGGACGTTGGCTATAACCAAGTGGTGATCCCGAAACTGAATGTATGCTATCTCGTGCATCATTTACGGAAAAGGTAAACTGGGCACTATGAGAAAGCAAGCAAGAGTGTTTGATGAGACAATACGCAAACTGCTTGCAGAATCGCGGATGCGGTTTGGGCACAGTTGCGTAGCAAGGCTCTATGTGAGTTAAGCAGAGGGAGTTGAGTTGAAGTCGGCGGAAGAGAAGATGGAATACACCATCGTTCACACATGGTGTTACCTTGCTTCGCATCCGGATTTCCGAGTCCCTTATCACCTACGTCAGAGCCTCAAAAGCAGCTACAAACGGTCGGTGGAAAGTAGGTTGGATAATGAAGTGACCCGCTCAGCTCATGAATCCATTGAGGTTAAAGAAGACCGCCACTAGTGCTGCTCGTGCAATTTCGAGCCTCGTTCATGAGCAATGGCTCCGTTAGTATGGTCTGGGTTCCAGAGAGACTAGAACTTACGTTCCACACGCAGTGGAGGGGCATCAGGTGATATTTCACTAAAACGACCGGATTCTGACCAGGGAGAACATGAGACACGACAGGCCTGACATAGTGATCAAGGTTGATGCACGAATTTATCGTGCGGGACTGGCTGCGCGGGACGTAAGCAGCGTGAACCGACTAACTTACGATAGAATCGTCCGGCTCTAAAGCTATTATACATACAGGGGGGAGGGCCAAAAAAAGTCACTTTTCTTCATTGACTTTCGAGGCGCTATAAGTTACACTTTATTAAATTCTGATCGGACATTTCTACCACCATATTAAAGAGCATATCAAATACTATCATGACACTCCGCCACAGCCTTCTGGACGAGCGCCATCGAGAGATTCTGGCACGCGACCGCGATGTGGTGCCTGAGATCAGCGAGATAGTCGATTTCTCCGCCACCGTAGACCACCCTATTGAACTCCGCCCGAACCGGGGTAATTGAGGGGATTCAGGTCAGGTGACCTACTTGGATATTCCATCTTCTTTAGGTACTCAGCCCCCTTCCATTCCAAGTAGGCGAGAGTTTCTCCAACGCCCTTCGATTTCATGTGGTGGCACTCAATGCTGTAGCAGTACAAAGTTTCCAAGAAGGTACGGGCGACCACATGTGAGGAGGATATTCTTCACGAGTTGCTCGATGTAACGCCAGCGCTCACCTTCAGTCCGGGGTCCACGAAGAAAATATTGGTCTTTCCATTCCAGGTACGTCCGGTCCATACCATCAACCCGCGCCTTGGCGACTGTGGTGAAGATGATGTCCTAGACCGTAGCGACGTTGTCGGAGCTGCTCGATGATGGAGGTCTTCCAGATCGAGAGTACTGGTCTCCAGGTAGCTATCCATGGGTGACTCCATACTAGAAGTTTCGCAGCTGTTTGGAGGTGACATGAATTCCAAAGGTCTTCTCCAGTCAGGCTGCGACTGGAGATGACTTCATATTTTGGTGTACATGAAGGTGATGGGCGAGAGCCAGCTCCTGCTTATAGAGGAACATCTTGGGTATCTTCCGCCCTGGTACTCGTATCCACGTCCTCTGTCTGGGCAGCGAAAACTTTGCTGATATGTGACTCGGTCGAAGTGACTTTTTTTGCCCCCCTGTACACAGTTTGGGCAGTTCGTCGCTTACCCGTTGCTCTCTTTAAAAACCGATTCTCATCAATTTCAATACAGTGCGGCTTGAGGAGCCGATATGAATTGGTGAACTCTCCGTACCTACATTCCTCGTCAGCTTTTGACATGTTCTACCTCTGCGTCACCCATACCCCGT